GTTCAGGGACCATGGGTTTGTCCTCAATGCCGGACAATCGCCACCCTGCCCGGGGGAACTCATCTTAGGGAGATGTTAGCTAGAGAAGAAATAAAAACAATCCTTTCTGGCCATATTTCAACGGTCTAGTTGAACAATTAAATGAACAATGAAATTAATTTCTGTTCCCCATGTTTGACTTTATGTGAAAAGATAAGGATTTGTGCTCTGCAATCCCACTGCGAGTTCATTTCTGATCCAACTACGTACGAGTTAAAACGTCAACGTTAAGGATGGTTAGACTTTTGAAAGCAATCATTTAATTTAATTTAACATTTACTGGTCTAAACTGCAATATCTTTGTTATTTATTTTATTTTTGTTTTACAGCTATTAGAGAACATGACAAACAATTTTTAACCGAAATAAACCATCACACAAACTCATTATAATAAATGTCTGATTTAGCTTTCTTGTTTTGTAGTGTTTTATAGTGTTAAAATGACATTTTTCATAATTTCTCAATGTTAAAATGAGCAGAAGGTGAAACAATTCCTATCCTATACAACTATTTCCTAACATTTTTTAATTTTTAATTTAAATTTTTTTTTATTTGACTTTTTTTTGGTTTACAATAAATGCTAAATTAATAGTAAAATCGTTACCAAAAACTCTTCAATTTGTATTAAAATGTATATTTAATAAAATAAAATTATAGATACAATAAACTTAAAATGAAAGATTAAGTAAAATTCCTCTCGATATAACATAGAACGTATCAATACTTCGAGATCGATCTTCTCATTCCTAATTGCTATTTTTTTTCCAGAACAAGCTGAAGTGTTTCACACAACTGAAGAGTGTCAGACTCGACATGTGATCCTTAATTGATATTTTCATGAATAGAGTCATGCATGCATACGCTGGGGCTTTCCCCATTGGTAACCATAGAGACCCAATGTCATCAGCCCAGCACATCCCATAGGGCAGAGCTGCCGATCTATTTCCGATACTCGAGCGCTTCTCATACTCATGTATGGGACCCGATTTGTGATGGCACACAAAGCCCAGGAACACTTCACCTGAGAAAAATTACCCCACTCCCTCGCTCAGGGCACTGCACCCCGGGACAGACTTGTGGTTAATGCCTGACAATTCCTGAGCAATAGAAACCTGGACTGACACTTCAAAAGCTCAAATATCAGGTTGCTGTCTTCAAAACATTCAAATGTCACACACCTTCGCTACTCTCCCATTGTGTGGAAGATACAAGATACTACATGCTCGTGGTTGGGAGATGTGCTTTCCACGCGATCTCTTGTTTGATTCATTGACCAGAAGTTCTCACATGTTCTTCAAGTTCATCGAGAGGACTATTAATACGATAGACACCCTGGGGACCTGCGCTGTATTCTTAATCCACAGAAACTCGAAAAAGGAAGTCATCGATTCTTCCCACCACTTGGTCTGAGAATGAGCGGACCCACGCTAGACAATTTATGTGGTTGGGAGAGAGGACAACAAGCAGGGCCATTGGCAGTCTGGACTTGCAGAGGAGTCACCACAGTAGCCATTTCTTCTCAGAGAAAGAGCCTCCTCTCTGGGGAAGCTGACTTTGACTTTGCTTCCTAACCTAACCTATACAATGCTGCAGTAGAGGTGGAAGTTGCAGGTGAAAAGTACCATGGCATTGCAAACATCAAGGTTATTTCCCTAATTTGTGGTGAGGAAGTAACTCTATATAACTCTATAGAGCTCTTCTAAAATTTCTTACCAAAAAGTGACGTGACATGTGGCCAAGTATGGTGACCCATACTTGGAATTAGTGCTCTGCATTTAACCCATCCAAAGTGCACACACACGACACACAGCAGTGAACACACGCACACCGTGAACACACACCCGGAGCAGTGGGCAGCCATTTATGCTGCGGCGCCCGGGGAGCAGTTGGGGGTTCGGTGCCTTGCTCAAGAGCACCTCATTCGTGGTATTGAAGGTGAAAGAGTGAGAGGCAGAGCGGACAGGGGGAGAAGGGGGTCGTAAATGGGCGAGGAGAGAGGTGTTGTTTGCTCTCTTTGAAGATTTCTTCTCCAGATAAGTTTTATTGTTTTATTGCATGGCGTCTGTTTTGTGTGAGTTCCTGAGTATTGGTTTCATGAAGAGTTAATTTCATAAGGAAATAACTTCACTCCTTTCACATTTTACAAACATGTTAAAGACACTATGATTATCAGTTAAAACGAGGCAGAGTCTGTAAATTAATTGTTATTTGGCAGTGGCTTTTTATTCAGAGCATCTCCCAGTGAGCTAATTGCAGAGACAGTCCCGCTGGAGCAGACCTGGGGTGAGGCGTCTTTCTCACAGGGACAACAGAGACATAACAGAAGCAAAGCTACAGCTGAGGGTTGCCCCAGTCTGGGATCCTGCTCACGACATATGTGATAGCAGCACAGATTCTTACCCATTACACAGCCTGTGTGGGTCTGTATCTGCATATGCTCTGAGGAAAGGGTAAACTGAGAACAAAAATCAATATTTCCCTCTTATTAATGCATGACTAATCCTTCATTCAAATATATTTGGCATTCTCAACTCCACATGCTCTCTCATTCAGTTTAGAGGAAATACTCACCCCAATTATTTCTGTCTATGAATACTTATTGAATATGGGGATAACTGAACAAAAATGTGCGCTAAAATAGGATGGATAGATAGATAGATAGATAGATAGATAAAGTGAAAAGTGATGTGACATGTGGCCAAGTATGGTGACCCATACTTGGAATTAGTGCTCTGCATTTAACCCATCCAAAGTGCACACACACGACACACAGCAGTGAACACACACACACCGTGAACACACACCCGGAGCAGTGGGCAGCCATTTATGCTGCGGCGCCCGGGGAGCAGTTGGGGGTTCGGTGCCTTGCTCAAGGGCACCTCAGTCATGGTATTGAAGGTAGGAGAGAGCGCTGTACATTCACTCCCCCCACCTACAGTCCCTGCCGGACCGGAGACTCGAACCTGCAACTTTTGGGTTACGAGTCCGAATCTCTAACCATTAGGCCACGACTTCCCCCAACCAAAAAGGTCTGAATATAATAAATAAAATAAATATTTCAAGTCAGTATTCTATTCAAATGTATTTATAGCCCTGGAAATAACATGAAATTGCTAAAACTCACATGATAGGATTTTGCCTGCTAAGCCAGAGTAAATACATTGATTCTTTGTTTTCCATGATTGTGCTTCCTGTGTAAATAAATCATGAATTTCACATTTTAATGGTATATATGCTGCTTCAGTGCTCCATTTCTGCTTGGGGAAAAACATTCATATAAAAAATTAAAGATAAATTATGAATAAACCATGGATTTTAATTGGGACCACTAATTGGTGACCTCAGCTTTATTGCATAATAAACTTTAGTTTTATATAGGTAAATTTAAAACTAATTAAGACCAAGTAATGAAAATTTGAGGATTAAATTGAAGGGAACCCAATAAGTCAAAATGTTATCCTAATGTAAATGTTTATAGGGAACACACAATGAGTTGTATTAGCAACATTTCCAACCAATATCTATTACTTTTTAATTAATTGTACAGAAAGAAAAAGAAAAAATAGCTAGACCATGCAGTAGAATATTTAAATAACTTTTACTGTACCTTCTGTCATACTGCAAAGAAATCACACTGTTTTTCCTCAGTATTTTGTCATCTTCTAGATACATTTCAAGATACATTTACTTGAGAAGCAAAGTGACAAGATAAGAAGTCTTGTTTTCTGTCAAACTGATCAAAATGAAGAGAATTGATTATTAAAGGGGCCATCGGATGCCCATTTTCCACAAGTTGATATGATTGTTTAGGGTCTTAATGAAAAGTCTATAACATACTTTGGTTAAAATTTCTCAATGGTAGTGTAAAATAACACCCATTTTACCCTGTTAAAAACAGCTATTTTCACAGCAAGTCGTTTCAGTGCATTTCCCTTTAAATGCTAATGAGCTCTGCTCACCCCGCCCTTCTCTTCCGTGGGGTGATGCGCAGTTCTCTGAGAGACTGTAAACTTTAGCCGCTTTCATCGTGAAACTTGCTAACTAGCACATTATTAGGAAAGGCGATTTGCAGAATTCATTAAAAAAACTTAAACTCAATTCTTCTGGAGGTGAAGCTGGATCACGAATGATTCGCGCGAACATAGACGCATTTTGGCAGATCGGGGGACACATTCCCTTCAAACGTACTCCACTGCGTCTTTAGTGGATCAGATGTCAGGAGTAAATGACGACTGCTATGTTCATTATTACATCCAACAACAAAACACCTCAATCGCTTAGGAGTCATTCTTGTCTACATCTGCTCCGGCGTCGAAACAATGGCGGACTGATGACAGCTCACTCAGGGCGGGTCTAAGGTAAGACGGCCATGTCAATCAACAATCATGGGAGGGGCCTGGGTCTGTGTGATGTTCAAAAGGAAATGTTATTTATCTGGATTTTAAAAAAGCACTGGGTGGATTTCTATCATTATAGGGTGGTTGTGTACACACACTGCCAACACACATTTCAGTTCAAACAACATGTAAACGTGAATTTTGCATCCGATGACCCCTTTAAGATACGAACAATGGGCTCAGAATTATCAACTTAATTCAATGGGAAAACAAGTTTTCATAGCTTATTAATAGATATTTGTTCTTGTTTTAAGCATAAAGTCATTTCATTTGGCTAAATTTTTCAAGAATCCATTCCTGTAAATATATCCTAATTTATGTATGTTTAGATATTAGTATTAGAAAACAAAAACACTGAGCATGATATTTATTTTTTGCAATGCAAGCAGCATTTAATGCAATAACTTTATGAATTCATGATTTTCTGCTCTGATTTATGAACTTTTTAAGATCTTAATTTGTTGAAGAGCGAATTAAGGCTTTTTAAGACCTGCAGAAACCCTGCTTTCATTGCATAAACAAAAACGGTTGAAACATTCTTCATTTTTCTTTGATCTACCCCTTTATTTCTCTCAAAAAGTAATCCGATTATGTGTTCTACATTACATGTACCACATTTGCCACCAACCACAGAACAGTTTGTGCCTTTAACAAACTACATTTAAATGAGCAGATACACTGGTTTTATCCTGAAAACCAAAAATGCTGATACAGAAATGACATTCTGGTCAGTATGGCTCCTGATCAGAATGTCATTTCTGTATCAGCATTTTTGTGAGTTTAGTTTGAACACGGATGAAAACGAGTCTTAATCGGCTCTGATATAACACATTACAATACTGCACAGCCAGAGTCTTCCTCTGCTAGTCTGCACTGAAAAACCTGTGTGGCTCTGCACTGATCAGTGTAAACCACTGCATCTAAACAGGGTTACCACACAGGAACTGTGTACACGTGCGCGCGTATACGTCCACACACTCCAGAAGAAAATGGAACAGAGCTGATGGCCAGTGGTGAGGACCGAGGCATGTTCCCAACTGCTGGATGAAAAGAGAAAGTTCATGTGTCGACACATACACAAACAGACACACGCACACAGCTGCTGTGGAGGATGCTGGTGGTATGCTGAAGCAGAACTTCACATGTGTGTGTGCCTGTGTGTGTGAGAGAGCAGCAGCAGCAGTTGCTCCGGCGATGTGGATGTGCCGTGCAGAAGTTCTCCCTCAGTTAGCCGGCTGTGGTGATCTGGTGCAGACGGTGCAACACGCAGGCAGATGTTTCCTTCATTGGGTCATTGTGCACCGCCAAACAGGGCGCTGTAAAACAATGTGTGCATGAGCTTGTATGTGTTTTCTATATGTTTGTCTTGCATCAAGTTATCAAATCAGCAGTACACGGCCAACCAGACACCCTCATGGGTTTGCACAAGTCAATATTGTCCTGTCAAAACTCCACATGCCACTCAAACAATAAAAACAGCAGTGAAAATGTTTGATAACAAAGGGTTTTGATTTGATCAATATGTTTCCATCACCCTGTTTTTATGCACATTTTGAAGCATCACATCAGAAACGAGTAACAGAAACACCAAATTTAAAAAAAATAAATGTGCTCGCTTGAGGTGATTTTTGACTTGTATGACAAAGGGTTAATGCAAATAATAGTGCATTTGCCGAATAAATTCATCCATGTGCATCAAAAAAGTAATGTGACTTTGCGCTATAGGACGACATAACCTGACTAGCAGACCGATCTTGTTGCACTGCATCTGAAATGTTGTTATGGTCATTCTTAAATACCTGAGCAAAGTCTGTCATCGAAGTATTTCTGTAGGCCTATAATTACCTCCTAGAACAACACATGCCACCCGACCAATAAAATTACTAATGTAAATGTTTGATAACAAAGGGTTTTTGATTTGATCAATACCTATGTTTCCATAACCCTGTTTTTATGCGCATTTTGAAGTATCGCATCAGAATCGTTTGAAACGCCAAATTTCGGAAACAAACGTTTTTACGCTTGCTTGAGGTGGTTTTTGACTTGTGCGAAAAAGGGTTAATGCAAATGCTAGGAGATGGAAACGCATTTGCCGAATAAAGTCCTCCATGCACATCAAAAAAGTCATGTGACTTTGCGCCATGGGACGGCATAACCTGACTAGCAGACCGATCTTGTTGCACAGCTTCTGAAATGTTGTTATGGTCATTCTAAAATGCCTGAGCAAGGTCTTTCTGTATAATTGCACAGAATAACACGACTGCTTTCCTAAACAGCAGCATTCACCTCCGAAAGCAGTTGTGTTTCGTCTGCTCGCTCTGAGGTGCAAGTCATTACATATGTATTATTATTATATTCAGTGGCTTCTCTTACTTTTCTTTGTGATATTTAGTGCCAGTTTATCAGGAAGTGACGATTTCGTTCTCTTTGACTCGTTGGATGGAAACGATGCATATTCGCAAATGTTTTATGTGATATTACAATTTTGTGCACAAGTTAAATTCGCAACTTTGGATGGAAAAATTAGCATCATGGCAGTATTTAAATGACTCTCATTCAGAAAATGATGGACAAGACAGTTTTCACATGTTGTTTTTGTAAAATGTTGATGCATGTTTAAATTTATATATACATTTTTTGATTTTGCACTTTCTTTGGAACTAGATCAGATTTTCGCCAACTAAAATTAGATGCCATTTTAGAGTAAAATCGAATAATTAATGAATATGATATAATGGAATACTGACATACATTTTTTACTCTTCAAAAGAAAAATTCTATGAATAAGACAAAAACTATAAAAAATGAACACAGTACCAATCCAAAAATACACTTATGTTAAACACAAGACTGTCATAATAAAATGGCTACTATGTTTTAACCAATCCTAAAAACCAAAAGAAGTTGGAATACATTTGTGCCAAACTCTTAAAAAAAAGATCAGTTTGCTTTGCACACTAATGAGTGTTGCTAATTACTGCAGGTGCACATCCTTGAACTCAGATATGATTCAACATGGTGGCAAAAACTCTTTTAAACAGGATGGTGCAATAATATCAGACTTTATTACCTGGGTTAATCTTGTGGAACACTTGGAAAATTTCAACCAAGAAAAAATGCAGCTGGATCTCAAAATATCCCATATACCGTTTTAAACCCTGTAGGGAAATCATGCCAACCCTATGAAGAACCTGGCGTTTTCTCTAGCGTATTAAATGGAAGAGGAAGTGATACAGGCTGGTCTCCAAATCTGACATTTAAAGCAATACCAGCAATGGCACAAAATGTAATGAGACAGATGGGTCCAATAAGCGGGAGATTGGGTGGCATGTCTGAACCGCAGGGAGAACTGACCGCAAGGAACGACGCGCTAAAGCGTTCCAGGAGAACGTGTAGCCGGGGTGGAGAGGGGTTTTAGAAACTGTGGCTCCAGCACAGAGCTCAACTGGAGCACAGCTGCAGCCGACAGCTGCACAGACCCGATCCCAGGAACTGAAAAGAGTGCAAGTGCAAATGTTCAAGTCAAAAGTGTCAAGTCATACTCACCAGAGGTTTCTCTTTTAAATGACACACATGCACACACATTCGCACATGCACACACACTCCGTTCTACTAGCTTTATAAATATTAAGAGACATTTATACTCCAAATTCACCAAAAGACAACTATAACGTGTTTATTCCCTACATGCATCAATATAAATAGCTGTTTTGCTTTACTTTAAAACTGTAGCTTGTCACACTATAACCACTGCTTGTTGGAAAAAATAGCTTGTTACTGTAAAATGAGCTACTGTCATGCATGTAAGCTACTTTTAGTTAGCGACTTCTCAACACTGTCTTTAAGCAAAGACACACAACTTCAGAGTTCTAATGTGAACTCCTGGATTGGCAGATTAAAGCGGCACCATCTTTAGTACAATCCAAACAAGTGACTCCAGTCCAAGCAAGAGTTTATATGTTCTCATTGGCATCCAGACAGAGGAACTGGCAAAGCGCTTTAAGCCATATGTTCCACTGTTCATAATTACCTCTGTCTATACTGAATTTATTTCATAAGGTTACAGACAACCTCCACTTCAGGATTTACAGAGAATTATTGCATATGAAAAGAGGCAAGAGTAAATGAAAGGAGGTTTAGTAATGAATGGGATTTATAAATAGCATGGAAATCCCTCATGAGAACATTTACAGGAATTCAACTGTAATTCAGGTTTCAGTGGTTCAGCATGTTTAAGTATCAGATCATTTGTGATACCGAGAATCTTCACTGCTGTTGCTATTGGTACGATGGTTGGCCAATGTCTAGGTCAGAGTCTAAAGGTCAGAGTTAAAAATGAAAATAAAAAAGGAAATAGTTTCCTTATAAAGTCAGATGTCAGATAAATAATAAAAACTGTATATACAGTCGTGGTCAGAATTATTGGCACCCTTGGTAAATATGATCAAAGAAGGCTGTGAAAAATCTGCATTGTTAATCATTTTGATCTTTTATTTAAAAAATTCACATAAATCTAACCTTTCATTGGAGAATAAGAATTTAAAATGGGGGGAAATATCATTATGACATAAATATTTTTCTCTAATACACATTGGACACAATTAACGGCACCCTTTTATTCAATGCTTTTTGAAACCTCCATTTGGCATAATAACAGCTCTGAGTTTTCTCCTATAATGCCTGATGAGGTTAGAGAGCACCTGACAAGAGATCAGAGACCTTTAATATTTTGGCTTTTGTCACTATTTATTTATTTTTTTAGAAAAAAAAAGAAAAAAAAAACGAGCCAGGGAAGTTTCTGAAATTTGGTTAATTTGACACATAATTGACCCAAATGCTCTTTTTGTACTGTGGAGGGTGCGTTGAGTTCTGCAAGTTGGAGGAGTATGTTTTCATGGTACAATGACCTCTTAAAATAAATCCAATTTATCTATTTTTTCCATGATGTGATCCCTTCAAAGAAGCTTATACTTCTTCAGCGGTTGCTTTCTTAACTTATAGAATCTTACTAAGAGCTGTAAATAAACAGAAAACCACTGAGTCTCACACATCTTATGGGTGACAAACTTGTGGGGCTGTTCTTTGCTTATCCTCTGTCTTTGTTTCTCTTTTCTTTTCTCTTCTGTCTCTTTTGTGTGTGAAATTCTCTGACATCAGGGAAAATAAGATGTTTACTGAGAATGAAATAAGGAACATCATGTTTCAAGTTCTCTCTGGTTTGGCATTTGTGCACAAGCATGGTAAGATTTCTTACACTTTCATTTGTTCTTCTCTGATGTGTTAAAGAGCTTCATAACACCCTTATGCATTTTAATTAGTTCCCAATTACATTTATAATAGTGATATGTGACATGTTTGTTAAAGTTACTTTAGGAAATTAACCTTATTATCCACCAGAAAAGGTGGCTTATGAAAGCCCATTTAAAAAAAAAAAAAAAAAGTTAAATAATTACAAATAATAATAATATATATATATATATATATATATACAGTCGTGGTCAGAATTATTGGCACCCTTGGTAAATATGATCAAAGAAGGCTGTGAAAAATCTGCATTGTTAATCATTTTGATCTTTTATTTTAAAAATTCACATAAATCTAACCTTTCATTGGAGAATAAGAATTTAAAATGGGGGGAAATATCATTATGACATAAATGTTTTTCTCAAATACAGGTTGGACACAATTATTGGTACCCCGAGAAATTCTTACGAGTAAAATATCTGTGAAGTATATTCCCATTCATATTTACAATTTTGAGCATACCAGGGTGATTATGAACATGAAATTATCCAGCCATGGCTTCCTGTTTCACAGGAATATAAATAGGAGGGAAAACAAAGGACATCATCCATCACAATTTGAAAAACCAAAGAATATATTTCTGATGTGCAGCATCACTTTAAAGGAGTGACTTTAAAGGAGACATATTATGCCCCTTTTTACAATATGTAATATAAGTCTCTGGTGTACCCAGAATGTGTCTGTGAAATTTCAGCTCAAAATACTCCACAGATCTATTTTGAGTGGAAGCATAAACACTCTGTTTTTCGGGTCTGTCTCTTTAAATGCAAATGAGCTGCCGCTCCCCGCCCCCTTTTCCAGAACAGAGCTGCGCCATTACAGCTCGTACCTGCTAAAAAACATCTGTTTTGGTTCTGATTATCATGTTTATCGAGCTGAAATCATGCGTTTTACACCATATTAGTTTAAACGTCTGATATATGGTTTTCTGAGAGCACACATCCGAAGCACACGGACAGAAAGCGGC